GAGTTTAGCATGTCCATCATGCGTCTTACTATTTCCATCAGGGTTGTATTATGTCTCTAAGCTACCCCATTTTGTTGATGAGTAAACGGCATAGCATACTGATGTAATACCATGCTTAGTACATATTTCTTAAATAGTCGTGAGGAATAATCTCCACCCCTATCAGATCTAAGGACTTTAATTTTCTGGTTTGTTTGGGTTTCTACCTCGGCCTCATACTATTTGAAACAGTCTAGGGCTTTAGACTTTTACTTAATAGATAGACATGGACAAAATGGGAATGATCATCAATAAAAGTAATGAAGTACCTCTTGCGGCCCTTAGTGGCGACATTCATAGGTCCACAAATATTACTATGGACAACTTCTAATATTTCAGTAGCTCTCAAAGTTTTGGAAAGGATTTCTTAACCAGCTTTCCTTGAATACATGTTTGATAGACTCTGGTTAAGTCTCCATTTAGATTATGTAATAAGCCCTCTCTCAATAAGCTCTCCATCCTTTTAGGATTTATATGCGTTACTCTCATGTACCATAAATACGCATCATCATTGTTATAATTATAACACGAGACATAAGAAATTAAATTCTTATTGCAATTAAAAAGAAACCATCTACAAGATGGCCATTCATTACCAATTCATTCCCATATTTGACATCCACCTTATTATCAGTAAAAATGGTGGAGTAGCCTGCCTTAACCATTCCAGTGATCAAAATCAAACTCTTCCTCATCTCATGAACATAAAGAGTTTGCTTTAGGACCATGCTTTTGTTGTTCTCAAGTTGAAGGACGAAATCTCCAATACCCAAAATTTCAGTCTTTTGATTTGCACCCATATAGATATATTGATCCCTAGGGGCAATATGCTTAAAATTTCTATACCCATCCTTGGTGTTTGATACATGGGCAGTGGATCCTGAGTCAAAACACCATGACCCCACTTTAGGGTCAGTTAACATGGGCTCGAGGACCACACAAGCATGCTCCCTATCGCCCTTGGGGTTCATATTCTTGGGTGCTCTACAATACTTCGCAATGTGCTCAAATTTCTTGCAGTTATAGCACTTGGCATTTTTTAAATCCTTCCTTTTCTTAGGCCCATTATCCCCCTTTTGATTCTCATTAGTTTTGTACTTATTCTTGCCCTTATCCCTCTTCTTCTCGAGTGAAGCAGAGTTGGGCTTAAGGTTTACCAGATTTACGGAGTCATTCAAGGCTGAAGTATCTCAAGTCATTCTCCTTTCTTCTTCCGCTTTATGTTTGGTGATGATCTCGTTCAATTTTGGCATGCTCTCTTTTGCGGTGAGCCCTAAAATGAAGCTTACCCATGAGCTCGACATAGAATTCAGCAACTAGCAGATTTGCATGTTTTCATTCAGCTTAAAGATTGTGCCACTTTTAAAAAAATTATAACTAACTAAAGCTATTAACTAAAAGTGGCACATAAACAAAAAAATGGGGTGTGCCACCCTAGGGACTTTATGTAGGCCCCAAAAGGCCACACGTCCCACCCATGGGTGATACACATGTGGGGGTTGGATGCTAGGTCCCCAAATATGCCCTTCGTAGTTCTGGAAATCTTGAAACTACCATTTAATGAATTTACAACATAAATAAATTTTTAAAACTCTGGAAAATTTTGTAAATATCGCAAAAACATTTCTAATACCAAAAATAAAATATTTTAGAAGTGGACTGGTACCATTGGGTCAAAAGTAGCTATAATAAGGGCACTCCATTTGACCTAAGAACCATGATCCACTACTGTCTTCTTATCCAACCCAACAAAGACCCATGACCCACAGTCTCAATGTGAGGGCACATGATTGGCTTCTCAAAGTGGAACTATGATCCTGGAATGTAGATTACAGTCTCCCCTTTAAGAGCAAGTCCAACACTTGTCATTACAGTACAAAGGGGACTCTCTATGCACATGTATGCATGTCCCTCTATAGGGTTGCTTTCCAATAATGCGGTTGTCATGTGTACATGCTGTGCGGAAGTTTGTTGGGGCTTTGGACCTTGCTTTCACAGGCCTATAACCGCACACATGAGACCACACAGTGCTCTTGGCTTGAAAACATCATCCATGGGCATCTCTCTGACCTCAACAAGGGATGACCCACTGTAAACCTTTCTCAGTAATACCATATGCTCTAGGACAAGGGTTTTGGACATACCCAGGGCCATAAACTGCTCAACCTTTGGTCAGTCAACACACACACTCCCACTGAAATGCGTATTCCATTATAAAATTTCATTTTTACAAGTTCTCTAGGCCTTTAAAGGCGACAAAATCCAACATGAGCATACAATAGAATGACCTCAATATCCTATGGCAATTATGCCCCTAAGCTACTACTAGTACTAAAAAGTACGAACAAACATACAAAATTTAATATACATGTATGTTACATCTAAAATTGAGTAGTGAGTGGCATATCTTCAAATGCTCCAAACCCAAACTTAACCTAACATTCAGCATAGAGACGTTCATCGTTGAGTTTTGGGACTGCCCTAGCCCTCCCTTCAGTTTTTCTCAGCATCTGTTACTGTAAATATTAATGAAAGATGATGAAGAGAGAAAGTAATGTATTCTATGGTTATTTTAATGTGATTTGTATCCTATCAGCCAATAACATCATTATCATCATCATCATCAGGGCCTATTTCCTATCAGCCAATAACTATAGGAAAAAATTTATATAGGGCTGCAACCCTACCTGTCGATTTATTTTGGATGGTTTAGATTTTCTGGCATGGTTGGATAAGGAAAACCAGGGCACAGGAAGCCCCAGTTACCCATTCCCCCGCTCTCAACATTTTTCTATGGTCATTCTCTCTCTTCACATGAAAGTCTAACCCTTCTTCCATGACCACTCCCCCCTTCCCTTTTGTCTTCTCATCTTTGCCAGAAAATCTGCTCACGAAACTTGATCCCCTCCTAGAAACTGCTCCTCTCAAAACCCAGTTCCCCAAAAGCTATTTCTCTCTTTTCCTTTGATAAAACACCCAGAGCCCATCTTCTCTAAACCCACTTTCTCTCTAGCCTCCTCAAATTTGCCGAAGCCATTTACATGGGAGAAACCTCTGTCTCAGTGAACTCGTCGGTTCCTCCTCTCTCTTCCAAGGGTTCAATATGCTAAATCATTTCTGAACATGTTTCTTACCTCAATATTTTTGCCCGGAGCTCCATTATCAATGCTTATTGTAAATTCTGTTTTTTTTCCTTTAAGAAGATTGTAGAGAGAGAATGATTGGGGAAAGAATTGGCGTTGTGGTGAAGAGAGAAGAGCTGTTGAGGTGAGAAAATTTGCATTTGTGTTCCTCTGAATCAGGTGATGAGAGGTTTTTGGGAGAGATTTTAATGTTAATGGAGGGGATGGAATTGAACTGATGGGTTTGGGTGGTTTCTGTTCGTGTGATTGTCTTCCTTTTTTCTGGGGTGGTTGCATTCGAACTGAGTGAGAATTGGCAGTTGAGTGAGAATTTTGTTGGGAATTATATTTGTTTTTCTCTCTAAAGGCAGAAAGGAAGAAACTGGTGTTTTTTGGAGTATTTCATAAGGGCAAGAGAAAGAAACAAGGGTTGATTGAATGTGCATTTTGGGACTTTTTTTTCAGGGGGAGAGAGGAAGGTTTGTGGTGAGGAGAGCTCCTTTAAATGTTCACCAGGTTTGGAGAGAGAAAATAGGGTTGGTGAGATATATTTTTTTGGGTGGTTTTTCAAGGGTGGAGAGAGAAAGGCTGCTTAAATCTCCAAATTTAAAACAGGAGAAGCATGGGGATCCTTTTTTAATGGTTTTGTTCGAGTGCTTTAAGGATAAACGGCTGATATTTAGTGGAAAATGACCAAAACATTTGTACATATTTTTACTCAGTCTGAATTTCGTGGACATTTGCACTTATTGTAAAAGATGAGCTCAATTTAAGGGTCATTTCATCCTTCAATTCAAGCAGTTTTTGTTATAATCTCTTTAAGTGGCCGATCCTTTTAAGCCTCTTTTTGTGTTTCCTTCTCTCTCTTTATATATATATCTATATATTTTTCATGTTTTCTCCAATTTTACTCTGGTTGGGGTAATTTAACAGAGTGTTCTTGTATTGATTAGGGAAAATCAAACATGAATATCTAGTTTTAGGTAATTTATCACAGAAAGAAAAATGGAGCGTGATGGTCTGGCGAAAATCAAATGAAAAATGAGAAAGAAACTGGGGCACCAAGAACAGCCAGTTCCAGTATTGATCTCGATGCCAGATATGCATTGTCAAATAAATGACCAGGCAGGTGGCTGTAACCCTACCACAATAAGTAGGGTTGTAGCCTTATAAAATTTGCACCCATAATAATAACAACATTGTCAATTTAGTTGCACTTTATTTATGGGACATATATTAACATGCATTTGGTTTGGGAAGTATGCTTCCTGCCACTGAATGGGCTTGTCCTAGAGTTAAATCACAAGGAACTGATTGGCACTGTAGGTATTTGGTAAAGTAATTTTGCCTCAGCTGATTTAACTTAAAAGATGGAGACACTAAAAAACGTAGTGGTCTTTCAATTGTTCAAAAATTGTGCAATCTGCATTAGGGAAACCATTTGAACCTTAAGAGAATAGATGGCCAAAGTCTCTTTTGACCTTGCATTGGTGTTGCATTTTTGGCCTTTCAAAAACCAATCTGAAGCTTTTTGTTCTGAATCTTTCAATGGCTAACTTTTGCTCAAGCTCCTTTGAGGTTATGATACCTAAATACCTAATTCATTGCTTTATCTGATCTGCATGTGAAAGAATTGAACTTTCTATGCCTTCGATTAGCATCACAACTTTCAACTTTTTTTTTTCGACCTTTTTGGTTTTGTTAGAAGTCCTATTTTTGACTGACTATGCTTAGTGTTTGTTCTTAATTATGAATATGGTATTTCCCACTACGAAGTGAAATTCATTTAAACAATATACCATCTGACTGTCAAAAAATGTTCTGTTTTATGGATTGCAGTCTAAACGGCTTCCATGCAGAGAGGCAAAGTCCATCCCTTTGCGATATATGGGATTTTCACATAGCTCTTGGATTCGAGAAATGCAACAGGCCTCTGACAAATCAATCATCATAAGTGAGATCTTGGATTCTAGGACTAGAAACCTTGTATCTGTATCCAGAATTAGTGACTATGTATTGTCTAATGAGCTTGTCAGCATGGCATTGGCAATGGTTGCTGAGGACAAACAAATCAATCGTGTCCTTGAGGAACTCTTTGCTGAAGAGGTAACAAATCTAAACATTCGAGCTTGTCAGAGAGAGTGAGAGACAGAGAGAGGTCAGAGAGAGTGAGGCAAAGAGAGAGAGGTGGTTCTTATTGGAGATGACAAAATTGTTTCTTTTCTTATTATGTGTGGCTTAATTTGTGCTATACTTCTTTCTTCTTTATTGCATGTGGCATAATTTGTGCTATGCCTTTTCTTCTTTATTATGTGTGGCATAATTCATGCATAGCACAGGCCTCTTGCATGTTGTATTTCTCCATCTCCTCAGCAGGATACCCATTATGATTACCAAAGGTGTGCTGTTCTGCTATAATTTCTATCACAATGGGTGTAATACCCGTTATTTAAAATATCACACATTCTTTGGCATTATAACAGCCAATGGTGTTTATTATTACTGATGTTTTAACCCTTGTTATTTTCAAATATCACGCATTCTTTGGTATTATAACAGCCAATGACATTTATTACTGATGTTTTAACATTTTATAAAACCCTGGTCTTTTCAAGAATACATTGAGCTTTGGAATTCTAGTTGACAATTTGTTAGTACTCCCGAACTGCACATGAATTTAATACTCATAAATTCAAAATAGTTATTTTGGAAACATCAAAAGTGTTTTGTTAGGATACTCACCACAATGGAGTTCTTTTTATCCTGCTGTACTGTTTTTGGACGAAAAATGCCCTCATCCCTTAATGGAAATGTTGTTTTGATGATAAGCATTTTTGTCTTTATTAGGGGCAACATGGAAAGGGTTTGCATCCTATACTATTGTTTTTCTACAAATGCGTCTCATTACCCCAGCTTTCAAATGTCAACAAGGGATGGCTGGTATGGTTATAAGTGTTATTTCTGATCAAGGTATATTTTTACTACTGAAACAGGGGAATGAGTTATACATCCGACCTGCAGAGTTTTATTTATTTGATCAGGAAGAGCTATGCTTTTTTGAAATCATGGTTCGTGGGCGGCAGAGGCAGGAGATTGTAATTGGCTATCGACTTGCCTCAGCAGAACGTGCAGTGATCAACCCCGAATGCAAGATGAAGCCCCAGAAGTGGTCACTAGATGATGTATTTGTGGTCATTGCACAAGAGGAATGAACACAAAAGGAAATATGAGATGTGGATGTTCGCACTCGTGGTTGAGCTCCACGTGAAGTTGTCATGGTGCGGGCAGAGGAGATATGAGATGTGGATGTTCACACTCGTGGTTGAGCTCCACGTGAAGTTGTCATGGCGCGGGCGGAGGAGAGAGAGAGAGAATCCATGTATAAAAGCCATTTTTTGTTTTTTGCTCTCTAATGTATAACAACCATTATGAATTCTCACTTTTATCAGCGATGGAGTAGCATGTTCTCATTTCTTCAGAATCCTTTGATATCTAGTGCACAACATCCATTTTGCATTCACGTTTATGTGAAAAATGTGAAAAACATGTTCCCATTTATATACAATCATCATCATCATCATAGCTTTTTTCTCAATTATTTGGGGTCGGTTAATAACCTCTGATCACTAATGTACGAAACCATTTTTGACCTCACTCTTATGTATAATGGAAGTCATTTGCCTTTCCGATTGCAGTCTCGAATGTATGACAAACATTTTGAACTCACTTATTTGAGCAATGGAGAAGCACTTGTTCATTCATTCACATACTCTGATCTCGTGTAGAGTTTTGAAATCACTTTTATGAACGGAAAAGCATGTGCCTCTTCATTCACAATCCTTTCATATATAATGTATGAAAACGACCTTGAACTCACTTTTATGTGCTATGGCATGTGCCCCTTCAGACTATTATTCTTGGTACAATGTCTCAAATATAAGTTCTTGAACTATGTGACATAATTTAAGTTATCCGATGTCACAACAAATGGCTAGGGGGTGGTTGTGACCGTAGTTAGCAAGTCGGGGAATAATATATACCAACAAACCAAAAAGCATCGTTAATAAATTAGTTTTATTTCAAAAAGTTGGAGGAAAAAATCGAGTAAAAAGTACGGATGGCTAAAAAACAGGATAAATTATAAAAGGGTGTGGTGTCTAGAAGATTGCAACCTTAAACAATCTAATTAAGGTGCACCTTCAAAGTTTATCATAGCATGTAATTTTAGTGAAAAAG